TCCAACTTTTCTCCAGAAAAGGACTGGACGGAAGAGGACCGGGGCCGGGAGAAGGTGCTGATGCAGGAGCTTGTGACCCTCATTGAGCAGCGCAATGCCATCATCAACTGCCTGGATGAGGACCGGCAGAGGTGACATGGCCAGGGTAGGGGCTCCTGGGGGACAGGGTTAGAGCAGGCCAGGCCCAGGGCCCCATGGGTGGGGCAGCTCCCTGGAGAGGCCAAGACACAGTCCACACCTTGGGCCAGGCCAGCCCTGCCCTCCTACCGGTGATCCCAGTGCACTCTGGCTCAGCCCTGTAGGGACAGAGAGGGCATCTGCTCCATCCTCCTGTGGGATGCTCAACTGCTGCTTCTTATTTCAGGGAGGAAGAGGAAGACAAGATGTTGGAAGCCATGATCAAGAAGAAAGGTGAGGCCCTTGCTGGGGATGAGTCTGGTGCCCACTTGAACTTCGGCATTGGGGGTGGAGGGGAGGGATCAGTTGAAGGGAGGGTTGGAGTGGGCACTACGAGGATGGGTACTACCAGGCACTACTGGGCACAAACTCTACAGCCTGTTTTGCAGGGAAGGCTGCGTGTAGCAAGAGAGGCCAGCCTACAGCCAGGATGGCTGCGGCTTAGGCTTGGCAGGTAGCCATGGGATGCCCTGATGCCCACAGAGAGGACTATGGTATACAGGAGGTATACATTGCCAGGGTATATTTGCCCTCAGCTGTGCATTCCCCCTTGAGATCTGCAGCTGGTTTTGTTGGAGTCTGTGGGCTCAAACGGCCATGCTTCCTGGGGACCAAGTGGTGCTTGGAACAGTTAAAAGAGTCCTGGACTATGAGTCAAACAATTTGGGTTTTTTTGTTTAGAGACAGAGTCCCACTCTGTTGCCCAGGCTGGAGTGCAATGGCATGATCTCGGCTCACTGCATTCTCTGCCTCCCAGGTTCAAGCGATTCTCTTGCCTCAGCCTTCTGAGTTACTGGGACTACAGGCACGCACCACCACACCTGGCTAATTTTTTTTGTATTTTTAGTAGAAATGGGGTTTCACCATGTTGGCCAGGCTGGTCTCAAACTCCTGGCCTCTAGCAATTTGCCCACCTCGGCCTCCCAGAGTGCTGGGATTACAGGCATGAGCCACTGTGCCTGACCAGGATTTGGGATTTATCTTGGTTTCACCAGTAACTCATTTTGTGGCCTTGTGGCTAGGTCTTGATTCAGGCCAAGTCAGACTACTTGAGTTCTTGTCCTGGCTCTGGCACTTATGAGCTGGGTGACTTTGAGCCAGCCACCCCACCACTTTGGTCTCATTCTTCATGTCTGCAGAACGGAAGTGAAAATGGCACCCCCTCCCAGTCATGTGCTGGGGATCACTGAGATAATATGTAAAGTTTAGCTGAGGCCCTGGCCCTACAAAGAGCTGAGTTGGTATTGGTCCATTTCTAAGGCCCACATTTTCCTTGTCTATAAAAATTAGGGGCTTGGACAGTTGATTTTGAAGGGTTCTATTGCTCTGACAGTGTTTGTGTTGTAAGTAAGAGAGCTGTGGGCACCAGCCTGGGTGAATTTAGCCTTTTATTTTATTTATTTATTTATTTATTTATTTTTTGAGTCAGAATCTTGCTCTGTTGCCCAGGCTGGAGTGCAAAGGCGCGATCTTGGCTCACTGCAACCTCTGCCTCTCGGGTTTTTAAATGATTCTCTGGGTTCAAGTGATTCTTCTGCCTCAGCCTCCCAAGTAGCTGGGATTACAGGCACGTGCCACCACGCCTGGCTACTTTTTGTATTTTTCGTAGAGATGGGTTTCACCATATTGGCCAGGCTGGTCTTGGACTCCTGACCTCATGATTCTCCCGTCTTGGCCTCCCAAAGTGCAGGGATTACAGGCATGAGCCACCGTGCCTGGCCCAAATCTAGCTTTTTAAAGATAAATGGGGCTGGGCATGGTGGCTCATGGCTGTAATCCCAGCACTTTGGGAGGCAGAGGTGGGCCAATTGCCTGAGGTCAGGAGTTTGAGACCAGCCTGGCCAACATGGTGAAAACTCCGTCTCTACTAAAAATATTAAAATTAGCTGGGTGTGGTAATTACATGCCTGTAATCCCAGCTACTTGGGAGGCTAAGGCAGGAAAATTGCTTGAACGCGGGAGGCGGAGGTTGCAGTGAGCCAAGATCCCGCCATTGCACCTCCAGCCTGGGTGACGGAGTGAAGACTCCATCTCAAAAAAAAAAAGATAAATGGATGCCATGCTTCAGAATTCCTGGAATCTGCAGAACTCTGACCATCCTGATCTTTCCCCAAACACTGGAGGCAGGGACAGGGAGGGTGGGCCCCATCGTCTAGGTGAAGAGACAGAGGCTGAGAAAGGTGACTTGTCCCAGGCTCCACACAGGAAGTCAGGGGGCTGGGCCGAGCCCTGCTGGCCACGCCAGGGCTTATGTCACTGCCTTTAGCCTGCCCTGGATGGACCCGGCTTCTCCACTTGGTTAAATGCTCCCCTCTCTGTGCTGCAGAGTTCCAGAGGGAGGCTGAACCCGAGGGCAAGAAGAAGGGGAAGTTCAAGACCATGAAGGTGCTGAAACTGCTAGGAAACAAACGTGATACCAAGAGCAAGTCCCCCAGAGACAAGAGCTAACAGCATGAGAAGCCAGTTGGGGACCACCCCTTCCTGGACCAAACCCTGGGCTATGCTCTGTTTGAAGGGGTGCCCTGCCGCCTTCAGATCAGTCAGGAGGAAGATGACTAAGGGGAGGGAGCCTCTGGGCAACGGCCTCTCCCTCCTCAGGGTCCTCTGACTGCTCTGGGCCAAAGAGTGTCTTCTTCTCTGAGTCCCAGGTAGTGGTGACTCGGCTCTGCCCAACCTGATTCTGATGACTCCAGATGCTGTGACTGACCTAAGGGGCAAATAGGGTCCCAGGGTCCAGGGAGGGGCGCCGGCTGAGCACATCCACCCCCTCACCCTGCCCAGCCCCTGCCATGAGCTCTGGCCAGGGTCTCTGCCTCCAGGGTTCTGCTCTTCCAGGCAGGCCAGCAAGGGGCGCTGGGCTACACTGGCTTCTTCCCGCCCCAGCCCTGGCTCTGAGTCTGTCTTCCTGTCCTGTGCAGGCATCCCTGGGTCTCAGTTTCCCTCACTCAGGAGCTCTGTTTCTCAAGTCTCCAGTGAAGTCTGAGTTTGTGACTAAGTGGCCTGTACTGTCAGATGTGAATGGGCCTGATGGGCAGCTCCATCCCCCTCTCCCTCCCAGTTGCAGGAGAGGCTTCCCTCGTCTTCCCTTATCCGCGGGGAGCCTCCCTTGCCAGGTCCAGGGCTGCGAGGCCGTGCAGGGCAGGTGGGTGCCCTGTTAGCTGCCCCCAGTGTGGACCCCCGGCTGCAGTCTGGTCCCTGCTTGTCAGGTAGGGAGGCTGCACCTGAAGCAGGTGCTCATCTCGGTTCTTTAACATCTGTAGTCTGACCCCTCATTGAGGCTTTCCTCTGCCACCGCAGTCCAGGGGACAGGCTCACTCCCATCTGTGGTCATCACTAGTCTGTCTCCTCTGTTGTCTGTTCTCTCCCTCACTCACTCCCACCGAAGGCCTGATGGCCACTCACCCCTCTGGGATGGCTGTGGGAGAGGAGGAGTGATGGGGACCACCACCTTTTCTGCAGGAAATGTGCCCAGCAGCTCTTGGTCAAAGCACTGTTGCTATAAGCTATCTCCGGGACGCCCCTAGGCCCCCTTCCCTCTACACACCTCTGGGAAAAGATCACACTGTATTAACTCTAGAGGAGTTTCCTCACCAATAAACAGAGACAACCTCAACTGCCAGTGCCCTGCAGCCTCAGGACACAGCGGCAGCCTTGTCTGCCCTCCTGCCTGCCCCTGCCACACCTGGTGGCTGGGCATCTCTGGTCGCCCAGTGGCCATGTTGGGGCTGTGTTCCAAGAGGGGCCTTTGTCCTCGCTGTCTGCCACTGGGTAGGATCCCTTTCCTCTGCAGGGAGAGGTGGCTCCTGGGCCATGCAGCCCCTGGTGGGATCCTTCTAAACATGCCTGTTGGCCTGGAGCTGGAGCCACCAACTCCAAGACCTTTCCAGGGCCAGACAGGTAACACATGTGAGCCCAAGTGATAGAGCTCTGGCGAACCGTTTCGGTGTCAGGAAACTGAGCTGGCAGGGGCAGGGATGAACTGGAGACAGCTCAAAGGGCCGCCTCCCTCACTCAAGGCACTTGTGGCCTGTGGAGCTGAATGTGGGGCCAGTGTTGCCAGATCCTTTGTTTTTCATCAGTAGCTAGAAATCCAGATTTTATGTGTGTGTAATTTGTAAAGGCTGAAAGCTAGCCTGAATTTAAATCAAGGGTTGGCCGATACTCTGTGTCCAGGATGGGCTGGGTTTGTCCTGGGGTTCTCTGGTTTGCTGCTTCCTGACCATGTGATGCGGCCTTCCAGGTGAAGGACAACTGTTCCCATCAGATTGCACCCTTGAGGGTGTGTGGACACAGAGGCTTTCCGTGGGATGTCCCTGAGCCAGCCCTTGGTCAGGGCCCCACCAGTTACAGGGCTGTGTTTATTCTGCAAACCAAAACTTGGGTCATGTGACCTGATAGGATTATGGGACTCCCTCCAGGTGCCCGAGACAGGGTTGATATTTCCAAAATATTTTGGTGATTTACTGGGACAGGCAAATGACAATACTGGAGAAGGTAGGGATCATGGGTGAAGGAGCCAGAGGAGAAGGGGACAGATGTGCTGTGTACAGGACAGGGTGTCAGGTGACTCCTTCACAGCAGGGCCTCACAGAGGAGAAGCTGCTGGGTTTTGCCCAAGAAAGGTCACATGGCACATGCTGGGATTGGAACTCGCAGGCCAGGGCTCTGGGTCCCTCGCACCCTTTCGTGTTTCTTTCTGTGGCCATGGGTACACTGGGAAGACATAAAGCTAAAGCCAGCTTTTAATCCTGAGTGCAGTGCTTGCCAGTTAAATGCCCTTGGTTGTGGTATCTTGTTGAGACTTAGTTTTCACAGAGGGAGAATGAACCATTGCAGAGGTTTATTGAGATCATTGACAGTGGAAGTCAGCATCTGCCGCGGCACCTAGCTACAGGGTGCCCACCAGCCTGGTTCCCATTTCCACTTGAAATATGCAAACAGGCAGCGAGAAACCATTTATGCTCGGCAGATTCTAATACCTTGAACAAATAAGCTTGTCCCTCTGAAAACAAAATGGTGCTTGTGATGACCCATGTTAAGTACGCTTTATTGCCCAGTTCATTGTTTGGTTGAATATTTGCCTCAGGTGGTAAGAAAGCAAATAAGTAAATCCTAAAACAGGAAGAAGAGAATCATATTCATTCCTGAATTTAAAAACTAAATGAACAGGCCGCAGGCCAGAGGTGGTGGGAAGCAGGCCCAGTGGATACCGTTAGACACACATCCAAGTAGGAACGTTCGGGCCTTGCTTCTCTGTGGATGGGGCTGTGGATCTCAGAGGCTCCAACGGCACCCGTGGGCAGGGGCTAGGCTGCTGAGTATGCCTCAGAGTACTGCAGGGCAGTGCCGTGCCACCATCTGAAGTGGCTGAAGGCTGGTAGGGGGGGCTGACCTGAGGATGACCCTGCTTGACAGAGGAGTGGACTCCAGTGGTCAAGCTTGGGCTACCCTGCCCCTGCCCCTGGAGACAGATTAAGTGGTGGCAAGAGCCTTCCTAAGTTCCTCACTCCTCTTGTGGTCAATGTCTTCCATTTCCCGGAGTTTCTGCAGAGGGCATCAGGAAAAGCGGGTGCATCAGGGGTAGGAACCTGAGGGGCTGCTACAGCTGTGAGCTAGAGCCTGCCCCCTGCCCCCTGCCCCCTGCCCCCTGCCCCCTGCCAAGCTGGCCCTGTGTTTCCATTTGTACTTGCACTGGGCCCTCCTCTCCCCGCCTCCCAGGTTGTTTCTCCTACCTGGGAGATTTCAGAAAGGATGATTCCTCGGTACTGCTTGCCCTGTCCCAGGGCCTCCATGTCAGCCAGGAATTCTTTCCTCTCCTGGATTTCCTTCACCACTGGACGAAGGAGAGGGCTGTCAGGCTCCCGTGAGGGGCGCGGGCAGCGGGTTGCCTCTCTCGAGAGAGGAAGTGATTCTATTGTCAAATAGTGTTCTAGGCTGGGCGCAGTGGCTTGTAATCCCAGCACTTTGGGAGGCCAAGGCGGGTGGATCACCTGAGTTCAGGAGTTCAACACCAGTCTGGCCAACACGGTGAAACCCTGTCTCTACTAAAAATACAAAAATTAGGGCATGGTGGCACGAGCCTGTAATCCCAACTACTCAGCCAGCTGAGGCAGGAGAATCGCTTGAACCTGGGAGGTGGAGGCTGCAGCGCGCCCAGATCACGCCACTGTACTCTAGCCTGAGTGACAGACAGAGACTCCGTCTCAAAAAAAAAAAAAGATAATGTTTCTCACTTGTTGGCCCCCAGTGATCCCCTGACTGCTCCATCCAGTTCCGGGCCCCCTCCTCACGTTACCCCCATCCCCAGTGTGACTGGCCCGTCTGAGGCTTACACTCTTCAAACCGGTCCTGCTCGGGGGCCAGAGCCTCCTGTCGTCCAGGACGGGCCTTTCTTTTCCGTTCCTCTGGGTCCTTCCCTGTGGCAAAGATATTTTGGAGTCTTTGTTTCTCCTTCTCCAGATCCCCTGGAGGGCCAAAAAGAAATAGCCTAGTTAGGCCATGAAGGATACCCTCGTTCATGGTCTGTTTCCAAGTGTGTGTGCTTGCTGCAGGGTGCCGGCTCATGCCCACAGGGCTTCCGTACACCTGGCTCCTACCCTGGGTGCTCCTGAGCAATACAGTAATGTCAAGAGAGGCAGGAAGAGCTTGGAAGAACCAAGAAAAGAGGCCGGGTATGGTCTGTAATTCCAACACTTTGGCAGGCTGAGGTGGGAGGATCGCATAAGACCAGGAGTTCAAGACCAGTCTTGTGGATGTAGTGGGACCCCCATCTCTCTCTCTCTTTTTTTTTTTTTTGAAACACTGACTCTGTCACCCAGACTGGAGCGCAGTGACACAGTTTTGGATCACTGCAACCTTCTGGGCTCAAGCCATCCTCCCCCCTCAGCCTCCCGAGTAGCTGGGACTATAGATGCACGTCATCATGCCCAGCTAAGAGAGAGAGAGAGAGAGAGAGAGAGAGAGAGAGAGAGAGAGAGTGTGTGTGTGTGTGTGTGTGTGTGTGTGTGTGTGTGTGTGTGTGTTTCAGTAGAGATGGGGCTTTGCCATGATGCCCAGGTTGGTCTCGAACACTAGCTCAAGCGATCTGCCAGCCTTGGCCTCCCAAAGTGCTGGGATTATAGGCATGAGCCACCATGCCTGGCCAATACCCCATATCTTTTTTTTTTTTTTTTTTTTTTTTTTTTTTTTTTTTTTTTTTTTTTTTGAGACGGAGTTTCGCTCTTGTTACCCAGGCTGGAGTGCAATGGCGCGATCTCGGCTCACCGCAACCTCCGCCTCCCGGGTTCAGGCAATTCTCCTGCCCCAGCCTCCTGAGTCGCTGGGATTACAGGCATGCGCCACCATGCCCAGCTAATTTTTTACAGTTTTAGTAGAGACGGGGTTTCACCGTGTTGACCAGGATGGTCTCGATCTCTTGACCTCGTGATCCACCCGCCTCGGCCTCCCAAAGTTCTGGGATTACAGGCTTGAGCCACCGCGCCCGGCCCTACCCCATATCTTAAAAAAGGAAAAAAAAAAAGGCCGGAGTGGTGGCTCACTTAATCCCAGCACTTTTGGAGGCAGAGGCGGATGGATCACCTGAGGTTAGGAGTTCAAGACCAGCCTGACCAACATGGAGAAACCCCATCTCTACTAAAAATAGAAAATTAGCTGGGCATGGTGGCAGGTACCTGTAGTCCCAACTGCTTAGGAGGCTGAGGCAGAAGAATTGCTTGAACCTGGAAGCTGGAGGTTGCAGTGAGCTGAGATCATGCCCCTGCACTCCAGTCTAGGTGATAGAGCGAGACTCCATCTCAAAAAAAAAAAAAAAAAAAAAAAGTTTGTCAAAACCCACACGTTGCTTTGGTGCAGAGCAAGGCTAAGAAAGAAGGCTCAGGAACCTGGGGACATGGCGATGCCTGTAGTGGCAACCCCTGTGTAGGGGATCTGGGGAGGGTTGGGCTGTGGCCTTGAGCCTTGCTAGCCACTATCATCAGAAATTGGTAGATTCCAGTTAATTGTGAGTTCTGGAAAAGTAAAAATAGAGGATCACATGACTGGTTTCCCCTGCACCCTGAATACCCCCAAGCTAACATGCGCTGAGGCTCAAAGGCGTGGGTACAAAGTACATGAGGATTTGATTAGCTACCTTCTCACCTGCCCTGTGGGCTGCCTGCATCCCTCTCCCTGACCTCCCCCAGGGAGATGGAGAAAGGCCCTAGCTGAGCCTCTCACTTACTGGTGGCTTGAGGCTTGAACTGCTCCCGGCTGTAGGCCCCATTGGCTTGGCACATGCTGGCAGGCCGGAGGTGGGGACGGGCTGCCAGGATGGGAGGCAGGTAGATGGGCGAGGCTATTTGCTTGGAAGGTAAGACCCTCTGGCTGGATGTTGGGCTGCACTGTAGGGGCAAAGCATCTCCTCCTGGGTAAGGAAGAGTTGGGGTGGGAGGATGCACATGGCTTTTTTTTTGAGACGGAGTCTTGCTCTTGTCACCCAGGCTGGAGTGCAGTGGTGCAATCTTGGCTCACTGCAACCTCTGCCTCCTGGGTTAAGGTGATTCTCCTGCCTCAGCCTCCCGAGTAGCTGAGATTACAGACACCTGCTACCACGCCTGGCTAATTTTTTGTATTTTTAGTAGAGACAGGGTTTCACCATGTTGGCCAGACTGGTCCTGAACTCTGGACCTCAGGTGATCCGCCTGCCTCGGCCTCCCAAAGTGCTGGGATTACAGGCATGAGCCACCATGCCCAGCTGACTCACATGGCTTTAAAAATTTTTTTTGAGTCTGAGTCTTGCTCTGTAACCCAGGCTAGAGTGCAGTGGCGTGATCTCAGCTTATGGCAACCTCCGCCTCCCAGGTCCAAGTCATTCTCCTGCCTCAGCCTCCTAAGTAACTAGGATTACAGGCGTGTGCTACCAGACTCGACTAATGTGTGTGTGTGTGTGTATATATATATATATACTTTTTTTTTTTTTTTTTTTTTAAGAGACAGGGTTTTACCACCATGTTGGCAGGATGGTCTCCATCTCCTGACCTTGTGATCCACCCGCCTCAGCCTCCCAAAGTGCTGGGATTATAGGTGTGAGCTACCGCTCCCGGCCTAATTTTTATATTTTTAGTAGAGACAGGCCATGTTGGCCAGGCTGGTCTTGAACTCCTGGCCTCAAGTGACCCACTGAACTTGGCTTACCAAAGTGCTAAGATTACAGGCATGAGCCACTGTGCCTTGCCACTTTTTAAAGATAAAAGTGATACCTACCTGTTAAAACAACTCAAATGGGCCAGGCGTGGTGGCTCACGCCTGTAATCTCAGCACTTTGGGAAGCCAAGGTAGGTGGATCACCTGAGGTCAGGAGTTCGAGACCAGCCTGGCCAACATGATGAAACCCAGTCTCTACAAAAATTAGCTCAGCATGATGGCGGGTGCCTGTAATCCCAGCTACTTGGGAGGCTGAGGTGGGAAAATCAATTAACTCAGGAGGCAGAGGTTGCAGCGGGCCGAGATTGCACTATTGCACTCCAGCCTGGGTGACTGAGCAAGACGCTGTCTCAAAAAAAAACAAAACAAAACAAAAAAAAAAACTGCAGTAGTCATGTCCAAAAAAAACAAAAACAAAAACAAAAAAAACAAAAAAATTAGCCAGGCATGGTGACGAGTGTCTATAATCCTAGCTATTGGGAAGGCTGAGGCAGGAGAATTGCCTGAACCCAGGAGGCGGAGGCTGCAGTGAGCCAAGACTGAGCCACTGCACAGCCTGGAAGGCAGTGAGACTCTATCTCAAAAAAACAAAAACAAAAGAAGTCAAATAGTCAAGGAGTCTTCTCTTCTTCCTTCCAATTCCATCCATCTATAATGAGTGCTGGTAACAGTTTGGTGGTCTCTTTCCTTTTTGATGCTTGTATAAACATGTAAAAAGATATATGTGCATATATTTTATATGTGCATATAAGATTCATAACTATATACTAGTATCCTTAGAATGGATACATTATTTATTCAGCTCACCTCCTAGTTTCAGAAATTCAGGTCATTTCTATGTTGGTTTGTTTTTTACTACTTCAAACAATGCTGCAATAAACATTCTTATACATCAAATCTTTGTACTGGTGCTTTTATTTCTATGGATGGTTTCCGAAAACTTTCTGCGTGGTCCATGGACAGAGAGGGACGATTTGGATGGTAGCAGGTACCTATCTCTCCTGCTGTCCACCCCCTGCTTGGCCATGCCTGGGGCTCCTCCCCTAGGCTCAAGTGTATCACCTATCTGGTCAGTTGACCACTCCTCTCAATGGCGGTTAAAGCCCAGCTTAGAGCAGGTCCCATCCATTTTTTCTTTTTTTTTGCGACAGAGTCTCACTCTGTTGCCAGGCTGGAGTGCAGTGGCTCGATCTCGGCTCACTGCAACCTCCCGGGTTCAAGTGATTCTCCTCCCTCAGTCTTCCGAGTAGCTGGGACTACAGATGCATGCCACCATGCCCAGCTAAATTTTTGTGTTTTTAGTAGAGATGGTTTTGATATGTTAGCCAGGATGGTCTCGATCTCTTGACCTCGTGATCTGCCCGTCTCGGCCTCCCAAAGTGCTGGGATTACAGGTGTGAGCCACCGCACCCGGTCCATTGTTTTTTTTAGACAGAATCTTGCTCTGTCGCCCCAGGCTGGAGTGCAGTGATTCGATCTTGTCTCTCTGCAACCTCCACCTCCTGGGTTCAAGCAATTCTTGTGCCTCAGTCTCCTGAGTAGCTGGGATTACAGGTGTGTGCCACCATGCCTAGCTAATTTTTGTCTTCCTTTTTTTTTTTTGAAAGTTTTGCTCTTGTCACTCAGGCTGGAGTACAATGGCATGATCTTGGCTCACTGCAACCTCCGCCTCCCAGCTTCAAGCAATTCTTCTGCCCCAGCCTCCCAAGTAGCTGGGACTATAGGCCTGGGCCACTATACCTGGCTAATTTTTGTATTTTTATTAGAGATGGGGTTTCATCATGTTGGCCAGGGTGGTCTTGAACTACTGACCCGGGGTGATCCACCCACCTCGGCCTCCCAAAGTGCTGGGATTACAGGCGTGAGCCACCACGCCTGGCCCATCCCCTATTTTGATCTGTGCCTGTCTACCTTTTCTGCCTGTTCAGCCTCTACAATGTCAATTCCCCAGGAACAAGGGTTCAGAAATATTCTTTTTTTTGGTCACACGAAAAATTTGTTGTAGACAGAGATTTCACTGTGTTGTCCAGGCTGGCCTTGAACTCCTGGGCTCATGTGATCCTCCTGCCACAACTTCCTGAAGTAGCCAGGACTACAGGCACACCCCATTATGTATGTGTTTTGCCCAAGCTGGTCTTGAACTCCTGGGCTCAAGCAATCCTCCCACTTCAGCCTCCCAAAGTGATAGGGTTACAGCTGTGAGCCACCACACCTGACCTGTTTTAATTTAATTTTATTTATTTTGAGACCATGTTCCACTCAGTTGCCCAGGCTAGAGTGCAGTGGTCCAATCACACAGCTCATTGCAGCCTGGACCTCCCAGGCTCAAGTGATCCTGTCACCTCAGCCTCCTGAGTAGCTAGGACTGCAGGTTTGCACCACCACACCTGGCTAATTTAAAAAAATTTTGGGAGCCGGGTACAGTGGCTCATACCAGGAATCCCAGCACTTGGGAAGCCAAGGCAGGTGGATCACGAGGTCAGGATTTCGAGACTAGCCTGGTCAACATAGTGAAACACCGTCTCTACTAAAAATACAAAAATTAAGCTGGGCATGGTGGTGCATGCCTGTAATCCTAGCTACTCAGGAGGCTGAGACATGAGAATTGCTTGAACCCGGGAGGCGAAGGTTGCATTGATCCGAGATTGTGCCATTGCACTCCAGCCTGGGCAACAGAGCAAGACTCCCTCTCAAAAAAAAAATTTTTTTTTTGCAGAGACGAGGTCTTGCGGTGTTGCCCAGTCTGGTCTCGAACTGCTGGTCTCAAGCCATTCTCCCACCTCCGCCTTTCAAAGTGTTGGGATTACAGGCATGAGCCACGTGCCTGGCTGTCTTTGTCTTTTTAAATGAGGTCCTCTCTCCTTTAACATGGAGAAGCATTAAGAATGTGGCCCCAGAGGCCAGGCGTGGTGGCTCATGCCTATAATCCAAGCACTTTGGAGGCCAAGGTGAGCGGATCACCTGAGGTCGGGAGTTCAAGACCAGCCTGACCAACATGGTGAAACCCCGTCTTTAAAAAAAAAAAAAAAATAAATAATAATAATTAAAAAAAAAAAAAAAAAGAATGTGGTCCCAGATCTCTCTGGCCTGGAAGCCGCTGTGAATTGCCCCTTACTTTTCATGATGTCCATGATGTGGCGCTGCTGAATGTTCGTCAGTTTCGATTCCTTCATCATCACTGCAAGACAAAACATTCTATTTCTATGAGGCCTCCTGGCTGCAGGCAGCTGTCTTCACCCGACATCCTACTGAAATGTAAAACCCTACATCCTAGCCCCATTCTGCACTGAGCATGCTTTCTCTATCTTTTCTGCTTAGTTTTTTTTTTTTTTTTTTTGGGACAGAGTTTTTCTCTTTTTACCCAGGCTGAAGTGCAATGGCTCGATCTCGGCTCACCGCAACCTCCGCCTCCTGGGTTCAGGCAATTCTCCTGCCTCAGCCTCCTGAGTAGCTGGGACTACAGGCACGCGCCACCATGCCCAGCTAATTTTTTTGTAGTTTTAGTACAGACAGGATTTCACCATGCTGACCAGGATGGTCTCGATCTCTTGACCTCATGATCCACCCGCCTCGGCCTCCCAAAGTGCTGGGATTACAGGCTTGAGCCACCGTGCCCGGCCAGTTTTTACTTTTTTCTTTCCTTTTTTTTTTTTTTTGAGACGGAGTCTCGCTGTGTCACTAGGCTGGAGAGTGCAATGGCGCAGTCTCGGCTCACTGCAACCTCTGCCTCCCAGGTTCAAGTGATTCTCCTGCCTCAGCCCCCCACGTAGCTCAGACTACAGGTGTGCGCCACCATGCCCAGCTAATTTTTGTATTTTTAGTAGAGACAGAGGTTTCACCATGTTGGCCAGGATGGCCTCGATCTCTTGACCTCATGATCCACCCGCCTCGGCCTCCCAGAGTGCTGGGATTACACCATGCCCAGCCCCTGCTTCGTTTTTTCTATAGCACTTATCACCACCTGAGAGTCTACATATTTTATTTTGTTATTTGTTATCTTTCTATTTAGCTCATGATAAGAATTTTTGGTTTAATAAAATTTCTGCCCCCTGTTAACAAATATTTTTTCTTCTTTTTCTTTTCTCACTGCTGTATCCTCAGCACCTAAAACAGAGTCTAAGGCACACGGTAGACTTAAAAATGTTGGTGGTGGGGCGCGGTGGCTCATGCCTGTAATCCCAGCACTTTAGGAGTCTGAGGCGGGCGAATCATCTGAGGTCAGGAGTTTGAGACCAGCCTGATCAACATGGAGAAACCCTGTCTCTACTAAAAATACAAAATTAGCCAGGTGCGGTGACACATGCCTGTAATCCCAGCTACTCCGGAGGCTGAGGTAGGAGAATCGCTTGAATCTGGGAGGCAGGGGTTGTGGTGAGCCGAGATGGCATCATTGCACTCCAGCCTCGGTAACAAGAGCAAAACTGTGTTTCAAAAACAAAAAAAATGTTGGCTGGGTGCTGTGGCTCACACCTGTAATCCCAACACTTTGGGAGGCCAAAGTGAGCAGATCATGAGGTCAGGAGATCGAGACCATCCTGGCCAACATGGTGAAATTCCACCTCTACTAAAAAAAAAAAAAAAAAAAAAAAAAAAAAAAAAAAAAAAAAAAAAAAAAAAAAAAAAAAAAAAAAAAAAAAAAAAAAAAAAAAAAAAAAAAAAAAAAAAAAAAAAAAAAAAAAAAAAAAAAAAAAAAA